ACCCAAAGAATCCAAAGTATCGGAAGAATCCGAAGAATCCGAAGAATCCAAAGCATCCAAAGAATCCAAAGAATCCAAAGAATCCAAAGAATCCAAAGAATCCAAAGAATCCAAAGAATCCAAAGAATCCAAAGAATCCAAAGAATCGAAGGAACCCGAAGAACCCAAAAACCCAAAGAACCCAAAGGAATTCAAGGAATCCAAAAATCCAAGGCCTCCAACGAATCCAAGAAATTCAAAGAATCCGAGGAATCTAAAGAATCCAAGGAATCCAAAGAATCCAAGGATTCCAAAGATTCCAAGGATTCCAAAGATTCCAAGGAATCCAAGGAATCCAAGGAATCCAAGGAATTCGAAGAATCCGAAGAATCAAAAGAATACAAAGAATCCGAATAGTTTGAAACATCCGAAAAATCCGTAAATCGAAAAATCCGAAAAATTCGAAAAATCTGCAAATTCCAATAATCCCAAAAATTCTAGAAACCCCAAAAATTCCAAAGATCCCAATAATTCAAAAAAATTCATGAAATACAAGAATTTAAAAAATCCAAAAACACAAGAAATCCAAAAAAATAAACATATCCAGAAAATTCAGCAAAAAATGAAGAACATCCAGAAAATTCAGAAAATCTAAAAAATCCGAAAAATAAAAAAAAAATTCGAAAAATACGAAAAATTTGCCTAATTTCAAAAATCCCAAAAATTCCAAAAATCCCAACAATTCCAAAAATTCCAAATATCTCAAAAATTTCAAAAATCCCAAAAATCCCAATCATTCAAAGAATCCAAGGAATCAAAATAATGTAAATAATTCACAGGATTCAAAGAATTCAAAGAATCCAAGGAATCCAAGGAATCCAAAGAATGCAAAGAATCCAAAGAATCCAAAGAATCCAAGGAATCCAAGGAACCCAAAGAACCCAAAAAACCCAAAAAACCCAAAGAACACGAAGAATCAAGGAACGTAAGGAATTCAAGGAATCCAAGGAATCCAAGGAATCCAAAGAATCCGAAGAATCAAAAGAATCCAAAGAATTCAAGGAATCCAAAGAATTCAAGGAATCCAAGGAATCCAAGGAATCCAAAGAATCCGAAAGAATCCAAAAAATCGAAAGAATTCAAGAAAAAAAATTAAAAAAGTCGATATAATACCGAAAAATTCAGAAAACTTAAAAAATGCAAGAAATCCGAAATACAAAAACACTCAAGACATTCAAGAATCTACATATCCAAAAATCTAAAAAACCTAAGAAATCTAAAAAAATAAAAATATTCCAGAAAATTCAGCAAAAAATGAAGAAAATTCAGAAAATACCGAATAATTTAGAAAATCCGGAAAATCCAAAAAATCTTAAAAATTTGAAGAATACGAAAAATCTGCCAAATTCTAAAATTCCTAAAAATTTCAAAAACCCCAAAAATTACAACAATCCCAAAAATTTCAAAAATCCCAAAAATTCAAAAAACTAAAAAAAAATCAAATATATAAATAATGCATAGAATCCAAAGAATGCAAGCAATCCAAAAAATCCAAAGAAAACAAAGAATCCAAAGAATCCAAGGAATCCAAAGAACCCAAAACCCAAAGAATCGAGGAACCTAAGGAATTCAAGGAATTCAAGGAATCCAAGGACTACAAGGAATCCAAGGAATCCAAGGAATCCAAGGAATCCAAAGAATTCAAAAAATCTAAAGAATCTAAAGAATCTAAAGAATCTAAAGAATCTAAAGAATCTAAAGAATCTAAAGAATCTAAAGAATCTAAAGAATCTAAAGAATCTAAAGAATCTAAAGAATCTAAAGAATCTAAAGAATCTAAAGAATCTAAAGAATCTAAAGAATCTAAAGAATCTAAAGAATCTAAAGAATCTAAAGAATCTAAAGAATCTAAAGAATCTAAAGAATCTAAAGAATCTAAAGAATCTAAAGAATCTAAAGAATCTAAAGAATCTAAAGAATCTAAAGAATCTAAAGAATCTAAAGAATCTAAAGAATCTAAAGAATCTAAAGAATCTAAAGAATCTAAAGAATCTAAAGAATCTAAAGAATCTAAAGAATCTAAAGAATCTAAAGAATCTAAAGAATCTAAAGAATCTAAAGAATCTAAAGAATCTAAAGTATCTAAAGAATCCAGAGAATCCAAAGAATCCAAGTAATCCAAAGAATTCAAGGAATCCTAAGAATCTAACAAATCCAAGGAATCCAATAAATAAAAAAAATAAATAAACAGAAAATCTAGCAAAAAATGAAGAAAATTGGGAAACTACCGAAATGTTCAGAAAATCCAGAAAAACCAAAAAATTAAAAAACTCAAGAAATGCCAGAAATCCAAAACCCCAGAAATTCAAGAAATTCAATAATCCAAACAATCCCAAAAACCAAAAAAATCCAAAAAATCCAAGAAATCGAAGGAATCCAATGAATCCAGAAAATCCAAGAAATTCAAATAAAGTAAGAGAGAATACCGAATAATTCAGAAAATTCAAAAAAATCCAAAAAAAACTTAAGATAAGCAAAAAATCCAAAACCCAGGAAACTCAAGAAATTCAAGAATCTAAAAAATCCGAAAACCCAAAAAATCCAAGAAATCCAAAAAAATAAAAAAATTCTAGAAAATTCAACAAAAATGAAGAAAATCCAAAAAATTCCGAAAATACGGAAGATCCTAAAAATTCGAAAAATTTACCAAAAATTTGCCAAATTCCAAAAACCACAAAAATTCCAAAAAGCCCCAAAAATCCGAAAAATTCTAAAAATTCTGAAACCCTAAAAATTCCAAAAATCAGAAAAATCCCAAAAATTCAAAGGATCCACAGCATCCAAAGAATCCAAAAACTCCAAGAAATACAAAAAGAGTCAAAAAAAAAATTCAGAAGATCCAGCAAAAAAATGAAGAAAATCGAGAAAATACCGAAAAACTCAGAAAATACACAAAATCCAAAAAAACTCAAGAAATGTAAGAAATCCAAAACCCAAGAAACTCATGAAATTCAAGCATCTAAAGAATCCGAAAACCCAAAAAATCCAAAAATCCAAGAAGTCCAAAAAAATAAAAAAATCCAGAAAATTCTGCAAAAATGAAGAAAAATCCGAAAATCCCGAAAAATAATGAAAATCCGGAAAATCCAAAAAACCCAAGAAGTTCAAGAAATCTAAAGCCCAACAAACTCAATAAACTCTATTCCAAAAATTGGACACAATCCAAAGAAATCTAAAAAATCCAAGAAACCCAGGAAATTCAAAAAATTCAAGAAATCCAATGCTAACATGGAAATTACCCCAGAAATAAAAAAAAATTCCAAAAATTCCAAAAAAATTCCCCCCAAATATTCAAGAAACACAAGAAATCCAAAATCCAAGAAAGTCAAGAAATTCAAGAATATAAAGAATCCAAACACCCAAAAAGTACAAAAAAACAAAATATCCAAAAAAATTTAAAAAACCCAGAAAATTTAGCAAAAAATGAAGAAAATCCAGAAAATTCCGAAAAATGTAGAAAATCCGGAAAATCCAAAGAATCCAAAGAGTTCAAGGAATGCAAAGAATATATGCAATCCAAAGAACCCAGGGAAGCCAAACAATCCAAAAATTTAAGGAACCCAAAAAATTAAAAAAAAAAATAATCAAAAACCCAGAAAATCCAGCAAAAAAGGAAGAAAGTCGAGAAAATACCGAAAAATTCAGAGAATCCGTAAAATTAAAAAATCCGAAAAAGCCGAAAATTCGAAAAATACCAAAATTCTAAGAATCCGAAAAATCCCAGAAATCCCAAAAATTCAAAGAACCCAAACAATCGCAATAATGTAAATAATACAAAGGATCCGAAGAATCCAAAAAATGCAAGAAATCCAAAAAATCCGAAGAATTGAAGGATTCCAAGGAATTCAAAGAAATCAAGTAAGCGAAAGAATCCAAAGAATCCCGCAAAAAATTAGGAAAATCGAGAAATACCGAAAACTTTAAAAAATCCGGAAAATCCAAAAAATCCAAACAACTCAAAAAATGCAAGAAATCCAAAACCGAAAAAACTTTAGAAATTGAAGAATCTAAAGAATCCAAAAACCCAAAAAATCCAAGAAATCCAAAAAAATAAAAAAAATCTAGAAAATTCAGCAAAAAATCGAAAAATTAAGGAAATCCGGAAAATCCAAAGAAGTTCAAGAAATCCAAAACCCAAGAAACTCAAGAAACCCCAGTCCAAAAAATCGACACAATCCAAAAAAATCTAAAAAAATCCAAGAAACCCAAGAAATTCAAAAAATTAAAAAAATACAAGTATAATCCAAATGGAAATTATCCCAGAAATCCAAAAAACCCAAATAACCCAAAAAGCCCAAAAAAACCGTAACTTAAAAAATCCAGCAAATCCAAAAATCGAAAATATCCACAAAATTCAAAATAAGGAAAAAACCAAAACATCTCAAAAAAAGCAGAATTTTACAAAATCAAAAAATAAAAAATTCGGAATCACAAGAAAAATCGAAAAAATTAATAAAATCCAAAAAACCCAACTGTACTCACAAATCTAATCTGTCTTTTGTGAGCCTTATTCTACCGAAGTCTGATACCCTGTGCAGTCGAATTCCTTGTTCGTATTAATCAGTTTGACATTTACTGCTTTCAATAGTTGTCCTTCGGTTTTAACATATTGAGGTTAGCTTTCCCTAAACTATCTAAGTTTAATATTTGTTATTTTTGTCGCTTTGTAAATTTGTGTAATTAAATACAGAAAATTAGGGTTAACAAGAACTTTTTTTAAATTGAAGGTAAATTGCATAGAGACTCGAAATTCCTTTTAACGAAAGTAAAATAAAAAGAAATGAATCTCCTCTTCTGCGTTTCGAAAACAACTTTCAACAATGAATATTTTATGTTTGCGATGAAACATTTTGCAAACTTTCAGTAAAAACATAAATAAGTGACAAAGTTTTCAAATATTCGAAGCTCGATTATTTATTTATTAAGGAAAAGAGCACTTGTAAATAACATCAGCAAGTTGACTACTCAACCCCATCTACCAAGTTCTTCACTGGCACTTTTTCCAAAAGAATACTGAATATGTCTCCAAACGGTTCTGCGTACACTTTCGGCACAACCTTTTGCCAGTATTCCAAGATATCTTGCCAGTTCGTATTAAAGTCTTCACACATCGCCTTGTCGACCAGCTTGTTCTTGAAGAGATTTTTGTAATTTACCTTCATATTCTTTGCTACAATTTTCAGAGTCGCATCTACCACCTTGAAGTGGTTACCGTCCTTGCCTTTGTATTCGTCCAAAGAGAACTTCAACTTGAAAACTGTTTGGGCTACAACCATTAAAAAAAAGTAGTTAATCATTTTTTTACTTTTCACTATATTGTAACTTACACAACTCGACACCCACTTTTGTTGATACGTTTACCGGCAGCAAAACAATTCTGCCAACGAGCTCGTAGTCAACGACGATTACGATTTTGTCGTAGTAAAGTTCCAATTCCAAAGCTTTATTTTTACAGTCCCATCTGCAAGAAATGATATTACCAAAAATTTATAAATATTAATTATAATTTATAACTTACACCGCCTTCCCTTTATCTATTTTTGTTAAACCATACAGCCTAAAGTTGGAGTACTTTTGTCGAATGGCCATGGTTTCGTTGCCAAATTCGCAGTTGGATTTTTCGGGGACCAAAAACGGTTCGAGTTGAGGCAAACCGTACTCAGGGATGGGTTTAGTCAGTTGCTTGATAGCACACGGAATAGCTTCAGACAAGCAACTGTTAAAATCCGGTTTACTTGCGTCGCATTTCTTGAAACCAGGTGCTGCAAAAATCTATCCAAAAACAAAGAAAAATTATTAAAATTACTCACGTAGTTGCAAGGAGAGGCAAGAGTTTAATGTTACTAGAACGTAAACCAGTGCTAAAATACTCTTCATGGTTGTGTTGCGTCTTCAGTTGGTTAACTGTGACATGGAAACTGTTTTAGTTCCGTTTTTATATGTTTTATGTGCACCTAATTAACGGTCTGTACATACTTCTTTCAAATAACTCAGATATGCAAAATTTTTAGTTTTATGTTTGTTTGGTGAAGAAGTATGTTTATTGGCACGTGTGGACTTATGAATATTCATTTCAACTTTTTTAAAATCAGCGCACTATACAGCATTAAAAATTCATAAAACGAAAATTAATACGAATTATAGGTGACGCAGTCGAATGGATTAAAATTTTGACCATCTTGAAACCAATGAAAAATGACAAATGAAACTGGACTTTCCAGAAAGATGGTCCAATGGGAATAAAATTTGACCAATAATTTTTAAGCACGATCCAGATCTACAAGAAAATATGATTCAATCATTTAATAAGTAATTTAACAAAGACCCTGATTTGGAAAAGCGTTACACTGTATATTAGAAATCAAGGCACGCTTGACATGTATTTAAAAAGCAACTGGTCTATAATCAAAAGATTAAGATAATACTGAAACCTTGTAAAATGTGGAAAAGTAAATATCGATAAAAAGGTTTGAACATTCCAAAATGCAGTTATTTTTGACGTCTTATAGATAAACAAATACTTAAAATGCGACAAAAAAAAATTCCAGTCCCATGGCACATAAGCTTACAAGTAAATTAAATTCTTATCGTTAAAATACCTCTTTTACTTTTTTATTTACAGAATCGCCTACTTTTTCTGAAATATTCAAAGTTTTGGTTTGAAAATTTTTAATTGTTGATAATTCGCTTTAGTAAATGCTAATACGTTCAGCAAATAATGTTTTTTGAAAATTACAGTTGGAAATGGTTGGTTAATTTTCTGATCAACTTAATATTTATTTATTTAATCATGAAAGATTCATTAATAAATTGTGCTACAGTCAGGTGGTTGGTTTTTATGTTTTTTCGATTTTTCATGACTTCTAGAGTACGAAAAGGTAGGTCTCTCGTTTCCGTCTATCGGTCTGCCTGCCTATTGATGTCAAATTTGACATGTGTATTAGGGTATCGTTTAGATGGTAAAATCTCTAAAATTCTTTTAGTAAATATTACTTAAGTTGTATAAAATAAGATACTCCTACTTCTGGTTTATGAATCTGTGTTGAGTTTTTAACTCACACATCCGGATTTTTCAAAAATAAATCAAAATGGTGTAATAAGATTTTACAATTCAACTTTAAAATTGAAAAATCGAATGCTTTGAAACCTTGCGAATTTTCAAAATTAATAATTTTTCGATTTTTTATTTCAGTCTTCAAAATTTTTCAGTTTTTTTTTGTCTTCAATTTTTCGATATTACAGTAATGGAATTTTTCAATTGTTCGATTCTTCAAATTTTTGAGCTCTTGATTTCTTCATTTTTTGATTTCTCAATTTACCGGTGTTTCAGTTTTTCAAATTTTGGCGTTTCTAAATCCTCATTTTTTCGATATTTCAGCTTTTATATTACTTGATTTTTTGATTTTCCCATTTTTCTGTTTCTTTACTCTTCAGTGTTTTTGAGTTTTCAATTCTTCCATTTTTCGGCTTGGATTTTTCGAATCTTTGATTTGCCGAGTTCCAATTTTTAGACTTTTCAATTTTTGGACGTTTCAGTTTTGGGATTTTGGAAATTTCCGATTCTTCAAATTTTCGATTTTTCGATTTCTCAGTTTTTTTATTTTTCGATGTTTGACTTTTAGATATTTCGATTTTTTGATTTGTTGATGTTTGGATTTCTGTATTTTTGAATTTCTCAATTTTTAAAATTTTTAAATTTTCGATGTGTCGATTTCTCAATATCTTGATTTTTCGATTTTTTTATTCTCTGAATTTTAAATTTTTCGAAAGTTTTACATTTTTCAGTTTTTTGGTATCCTCGATCTTTCGATTTTTCGACTTTCCGGTTTTAGATTTCTTGGTTGTTCAATTTTTCGATTTTTAAAATTTTTGATTTTTCGTTTTGCCAATTTCTTGGTTTTAAATTTTTTCGATTTTTCAATTTTTCTTATTTTCGATTCATTGTAAATTCGATTTTCCGATTTTTGATTGTCAAATTTTTTGATTTTTTGATTTTTTTCGATTTAGGCCTAATTCGATTTTTCGACTTCTTAACCTTCTATTTCTCGATATCTTGATTCTTCAAATTTTCGATTTCTCGATTTCTTCGTTTCCGATTTTCCAAATTTTCGATGTTTCAGTTTTTCAATTTTTCAAGTTTTGGCGTCTCTAAATGTGTAATTTATCCATTCTTAAATTTTTCTTCCATTTTTCAATTTTTCGATAGTTTAGTTTAGACTATTCAATTTTTGAATTTTAAATTTTCCAATGTCTTAATTTTTTGATAATCTAATTTTTTATTTTTTGGGTATTTTGATTTTTCGATTTCTCGGTTTTTCGATTTCTCAATTATCTCGATTTTTCGAACCTTCGATTTTTCAATTTTTCGAATTTTTAAATTTTAGATTTTTCTATTTCTGGATATTTCAGTTGCTCGTATCTTCAATTTTACGACGATTTTAGATTTTTCGGTTATTCAAAATCTCAATTTTAAAAATTTTTGTTTTTTCGACTTTTTAATTTTTCGGATTTTGTTTTTTTTTTTTCATTTTTTTTGCATTTGATGTTTCGATTTTTGATTGTTAAAGGACCCTATACGATAAGGCCTGGTTTTCGGCCCAGGAAAAAAAACAACACATTTTTAGAATAGATACTAGCAGTTGGGAAGGGTTATTTAAATTAGAAAATAGAGCATGTACAGACTGTCACATGATTTTAATTCACAAGAAAATAGCATAATATTCTGCAATGTTAAAATATCTGCATGTAATGGTGATGAAATGAAAAAAAGTGCGGTGCGATAAGTTGTACTCGATAATTGGGTCTTAATTTGAGGGTTAAATTCATTCGTGAACTCCAAAAAGATAATATTGAAAGTTAATTTAATAAATGCACAGAACCCAGAAGAATTCCTTCAGACTTTTTAACAGTTTTTAGACTGCTTGAAAATACAGGAATTTAAAGACCTTATTATTACTGATATACCTAGTAAGTGGTGTTAAAACAACAAGAAACAATACAAACCTGAGCTGCCCCCCTTGATTGCTGTTATTGACACTTTTTCATTAACATCTTCTGGTAAAGTTTTAACACTGTTGCTTTTTTACTTCAACCAAGCTCATTTGTTTTGAATATGGTTTATTCTGACAAAGATTCATTTATTTCTTGTATTTGTTAACATATATATATTAAATATATAAATTAATATGTGAAAACTTACAACGTTTGTTGACTTTTCCACAAATTCATCAGGATTGGTTTTCAGTAGATAAAATTGTAATAAGGATTTACTTTAAGTCTTTAGTTGCCATTAATTGAGGCTGATAAGGTAGATTTTGGGTGTTGGTTTATATATGTTGAAGGATAAATTGTAAAACAAGATTTTATTGTCATATCTACATCTTTCGGTACCTATGCAAAATTAGAAACATTTTGAATTCTCATTTTGTTCAGTTTTATAAATAGCTACGTCAAAGCTGAATATTACGTAACATCTTTAGCTTTTTGACACGAAGAAACAGTTAAAATGTTCAACTTGGTCTGAGGATGTTACTGTTTTTATAAATATTAAGTAAAAAGTAGAAATATGTACTTCAAAAGTACAGTGGAGTCTTGATTTGCTTGATTAAAAAAAGTTGGAGATTTCAATTCGATGAAAACTGGAACCCAAACATAAAAAACAATAAACACAGTACTGTTACTAACAGTCGTGACCCATGTTTTAACGTTTTATGTTTGTTCGGTACGGCCTTTATGAGTTCCACGGAAGGATGAGTCCGTACCCAGCTCAAGTAAAGTCCCTAGTTATATATCTAGGGACTTTAGGCTCAAGGTACTCACCCCACCCAGCCACCTACTGGATGGAGGGCACTATCTTCAGTATACAGGACAGGCATGATTGGAAAGGGTACCGTACGCGACAGCGATATGGGCGCGACGATTCAAATATATATTTGTGACTTGTGTTTACATACTTATTATTAATGTAGTGATTATGATAAGAAAATCCACTCTTTTATTTACGATTGCGATGGCGTGAAGCTACATTTGGTCCTACGAGTCGAATCACGGCGCAACATTTTGTTCTTTTGAGTCGCATCACGGCGCGATGCTACATTGTGGTCCTTCGAGCCGGATCATTCAACGCCACAATCTTGAAATATATTTTTTTCACTAGTAGAAACCATAAGACAATAAACTGAAAAACTAAACATTCAATTTTTTGACGCAACATGATTTTGTTGTGATTTCTAATCAAACTTAATCTAAATCTTCAACACAAAGAAAACCGTTTATACTTGTCGCTGAGTTAATCATTTTATCTTCTACCGTCTACCAACTACCATGCGTATACTCAAGTAATGTTTGTAGCACACATTTGTTCATTTTTTAAGAAATAATCACATCAAACATTGCGTACATAACCTCAATTTTTCTTTTTGAACCGGTGGTCGCAAAAGTTGAATTTGCTACCTCTAAATG